CATTTCCACCGCTTTGCAGTTCTGTGAGGTTAAGGCATGGCACAATGAAGCTACTCTTATTTTTTTTTAAATGAATGCAAAAAGAAGGTAGAGAGAGACAGAGAGAGGGAGCAAGGTGAGGCTCAGACATCCCCTGTCTTTCCTGGAGGAGAAAGAAGTCTCTGACCCCTGTGCCAGACCAGCACCACAGAACAAGACAGTGCTCCAGAAAGGCTGGGAATTGAGGTTTTTTATCTCAACCAAGGTCTGTGAAACAACAAACCAGTAACAAAACCAGCAGAACCACCCCCAGTCCATACAACCACAAATTCCAGCCCCTTGAACTACAACATTTCAACAGCAGAGATGTTCTGAGTAGCATTCAGCCATGCCATAGCAGCAGCCTAGGCTCCCAATGCAGACAGCAGAGCACTTCAGACCTTTCAAGCACCCAGGTTCCAGCTGGATTGGCTTAGGTTTGTAACATAGAGCCACTCTGAATTGCTTGGCCAGGCTCTTGGCTACACATGGAAGCAAAGAGCCCTGCAGTTGCATGAGCAGCCTTAATGGGGCTAACTGGAGGCTGCTGCCACAAGGGGTGGCCAGTCCCACCCTCCTTCTCTACCCCAACTGACCCTACCTCTTGCGAAAGCCACTGAGCTACCTGAATTTTTTCAGTTCCTTGTACAGGGCAAGTTTCAGCCAGAGCAACAAACCCTGTGATTCCTCCCACCCCTCCAAGAGCTGGTATCAGGGATGGGATAGGAGGCTGGGGAAGAGGGAGAAGGTGCAACTTACCTCTTAGCAGCACAGCATGGTCTTGGAATGGGCAAGTCAACAGTGCAACCACATCTTGTTCTAAAAGATGGCAGTAACAGTATTTTTGAAAGTAGTGTTTTAAAGTCTGAGTTTTCCTCCTTCTCCCTTGGCTCAGAGGATCCCCACCACATTTGGCTTCTATTTAGAGCTGCGCTGATTCCTCTCTCTTTTTTTTTTTTCTTTTGCAACCTGCAGACACACCATCCTTTGGGCACCTGCACCTCCTCCCTGGGGCCCACCTGCAAGTGCAGCACACCCTTCCTTCCAGCTGGGAGACATCCCCTGGGAAGAGATAATGCAGACTGTCAGGGGAAAGAGGTTTTCTTCTTCGGTCCTAGGTATGAACTGGTATGGTGTGATAGGATGTGATGGAAGGGAACTGAGCTGCAGGAGTTTGCCCTGAGGCCTCAAGACCTCCAGAGACGACCTCCTTTATTACAGTCCTCAGTGAAGCAGAGGCCCACAACCCTTTTGCTATGACAGGAATCCCGCTCCTAAGGGAAACAGAGTAAAGGCTTTTATAGCTCTGAGCTATGGACTTTCCCTGTCAGAGGAATATTATGGCTGCACAAGAGCAGGCATCATAAGAAGAAATACGTTGCAAAGATATAAAATGGAATAGCCCACACAGACCTATCAGCTAACATAAAGCTATAAACAAGCCTTTGTGGCTGCATTTCTTGTGAAATATAAAAAAAGACATCAAAAGAAATTAGGTCTCTGATTTCAGCCTGGACAGACAAGTGTCTAACAGCTCAGCAAAGTGCCCACACCCTCACTAACACCACATCACTCAAAGCAACTGCCCGTCCTCTCAGTTTACCCAGTTGTTTGTTACTTTGTCCTCCCATCACCTAGGTTTTCTCTCTGCATCTCGAGACTCCGACGCTGATGTGGGATATGCAGGCAGGGTGCAGGCTGTGAAGGAGACAAACAGGCTGTGGTGGAGCTGTGGCAGCCGGGGAGCTGCGCTGGGGAGGTGGCAGGTCCTTATGTGAACATGTGCCTGCCTTTAGCCACAGCACCCCTGAGCATCAGCCCCTTCGCCCAGGTGGGGTGGGAGAGTCCATGAGGAGCTCATCACTGGGAGCTTCCAGCTCAGTAACAGCAAGACAGGCACAGAGACGCACAAGGATGCCCAACTTCCCTGATGGCAAGTTTACAGTTGGATAAAATGAGTGCCTAAATAGCTAAAATAACTCCAGATTTTGTAATAATTGTGGGAGCTCTGAGAGATGTTTGCCTTGGATTATGGGCCTCTTTGTCCTAAAACTGGTCAATCAAAGAACACTTCTCTAGTTTGACTTATTTTTCTCAAATTAAAAAAAAGTTAATTTAAAGAAAATATGGGTTTAACTAAGGCTAGATCTATTGTAAATACTTTATGACAACCTATTTTGTCTTCAGGATATTGGTATGTGTTTACACACCACAGCAGCTTTTTTGCCAGAAACTAGCGAGGTCTTCCCCAGTCTCCCTTTCCGACACTGCAGCTTGCCTATAAAAATCTTATTTCGGACTCAACCACTCCACAAGCCTCTGGACCTGCTCAGGGAAAGAAGGCCTTACACATCACTCCTACAGCATAAGCCCCAAACTTTACCTAGGACTGTTATTTCATGCCTCTGTCTATTCCTCCTACAGCAGGAGGACTAATTTTACCACCTAATCTGAGTAATCCTACAGAATTACCTCACTGTGAGAAAGGAAGTGTTGGATCTTAGCTACTGATGTAACAGGTACAACTTAAAATTACTACATCCTTAACCTGCTTGTGACAATTTTGCTCTGTTCTGTTCAAATGAAAATAACTGACAGAAATTATGCCATCTTAGCAAATGTTATTTTTAATTCATTGGTACTCGTTCTTTATGTTTCCTTCCAAGCAATTGTATATTGAAATGTGTGCAGACAAAGTTGTCCTCTAGCTGTGGTCTCATTTTTTGTTCTCTGTTTTTGCATACACTCCATATAGGGATGGGGTAATATACACATATATACAGGGAGAGGTACCCAGCAAAAAGCTAGCTCCTTGTGAGGCTGAGTAATCATTATCCATCTTTCACTAAAAACATTAGCAGTGTGCAGGTGCTCCTATATTTAGAAAGGGATTTAAAACAAAGAGATGGACATCTAGTGAATAGAGTGTCCTCTTACACTATGTCTGGTTTTGAGGACTATAAGGGAGCTTTAGTTCCCACTCTGTAGCAAATCCACATCAAACCTGGGATAATATTAAGACAAGATCAAATAGTGAAGATTGCTTGTGAGAGCCCTTTTTCATCCTTGCTTTTATTCCATTATCTTTTTTAATTCAAGGTGAGGTTTTTTTGGTAATAAATTGACACAGAGCTGCTGCAACAAACTACGTGCAAGAATCTTTTTCCTATCAAGTGTGGTATCAAGATTTGTATTTGGAAAATCCTTACAACGATCAGAAGAACAGAGCTGAGATTTATTCTGAATGTGGTATTCGTAAAACGAGCTGGCCAGCCTAACAGTCTAAGGCCAAATCCTGCCCCTGTCTACTTGGGTTGGTGCTTTTATCTTATAACTCCACTTAGGAAAATGGAGCTATGATACGCAGGCTCTTTATATGACGGATTTCAAGCCTAAAACTCAAGTAAAACCTTCGATCTTGTGTATTTAAGTCATATGTGAAAGTGGTCCATAAGCTCCTAAGCCTTTTAGATGCTTTTGACAGAGATATTCAAGAACGTAATAAAAACACATTCATTTTTACATAAACCTTGCTTCCAAAAAAAAGAGCAAAAAATATGCTCATTATTTTGCTTAGCTTTTTATTCCATCATTATGGCACAAGATAGGACTTAAAGACAACATCACTAAGTCTCCAACTGCATTAAAATTAAGACTACTATGTTTTATAAAATTCTGTTGGTATGATACACTTTCCCTTATCGAGTGATAAAAAGAATTTTCTCTAGAATACTGAAGTACATTGCCACCTGCTGGCCATAAACAACTTTGCAATTTAAAAACCACCAGAACGTGTATAAAACAGCAACATTTAACAATGCAACATACAGTTATCGAAGAAGTACTACTGACCCAGACTTTGGCACAGTATGTGTAGAAATGCAGCTGTGAACTTCTCAAAACATCACATTCATTTCTGGAACTCTGCGTGACTCCTTTTTGTAGGTCTGTCTGTCTGCATTTTTCTTTTTGCTTCCTTTTTCTGTTTGCTTGGTCTAACTTTCTTAATGCTGAAGCTTTGCTGTTTCAAAGGAAAAGCCATATTCTCTCTCTTTTACACACCTCAATTTATTGGGTTTGGTTTTCTAAAATTTGGATTCCAGTTTATTGTTTTAGAACAATACATAAAATCATACATTTATAAATATATATATTATATCCTGTATACATAACATTGGTTTTCCTCTAGAATGGGAGGGCAGACCTTTGCACTATATCCTTAGTTGATTTAGGCATGGCCTTGCTCTTAGTAGATTTTCTGAGCTGCTTCCTACCAGAATCTAAAAAAATATTTTTATAATCTTGTATCAAATTTTTATTTTGTTTGCAAATATATTTATAAGCAAAAAATATTTGGTATTTTCCCCTCTAAGCTCACTACTACCCTTATAAAATATATGGCTTTTCATGTTCCACTCTATTTTAGTGTTTTTCAATAGGCAGTGAAAAGGACAACTTCCTCCTTCAACAGGTTTGAGGTTTTTTTTATATATAAGCACAGAAACCAGCTTGTGCACTTTGTATAGAATTCCAATGCATATCACGGTAATGTAAGTGCAGTGATTTTTTTAAAAAGCAGTCATGATTGATCGACATCTGTATATGAAAACATAATATATGATTATCATACAAGACCCATTACAGAATATACAATCATCAAAACTGCAGATATATAAATACATTTTTAGTAACATCAAAGCAACAGCTTTACCTTATACACAGCGTATGCATACAGGGTTATTAGACTAAAATTTTCATCTTGTTTTTTTCCTTGAAAGCTTGCTGAAAAAAAGGAACATACTGTATTTGTAAATGGACTGCTTGACAGCGCTGTTAAGAAATTAAAGTGAAAAAAAGTTTTTAAAAAAGTATATGCAATTCAGTCGGTATAAAACAAACAAGCCCTCCCCGTTTTCCAATGTCACTGTTGTCTTCCTGTGAGAGGGAGGCATGGGTATGAGTGGCAGTTCTGCAGAGCCCAATCATACAAGGGTTTCTGGGAGGGCATCAGGGTTATCAGCTGACAAAAGCTCCCAAATTTGCCACCTCTCCCTTTGCCAATCGTGCCAGTCCGCCTCTGAAATGTTTTTACTGTTCTGACTGTGAGGTGCTGTGGAACAGATGTGACCTGCTTGGGTGTGCAGGGCCGGCCGATCCTGCCTGGAGGTGGCCTGGTCAGGGCTTTTGGCTGCTGGTCCTCCAGCTGCTCTGGTCCCTGAACTTTTTTCATGGCGTTGAAGTTTCCACAAAGAGTGCAACGTTGAAGAAACACTCGGCCGCTGTGACAACGCAGAGCTTGTTTTTGCTGGGCCTGGGTATGGGGGTGGTGGCCTCTCTTTCCTGTAGGAGGGCTTGGCTGTGCTTTGTGAACAACCCACACTCAAGTCATGCTCACTGAGGTCCTCCACGCTGCTTAAAGTCAAGTGCCGCTCTGACTTTGATTGTGACAGGTCTGAACTCCTACTGTCAACTTCGAATTGTGGGTTGCTGCACACCCGAGACACTGTGGGATGGAGCTGGCACTCAGGAATGGCAGCAGTCGTCTGGCTCCTTCGCATGACATGCCTGCTGTGGTCCAATTCGGAGGAGCTGCCCTGCCACCGAGGAGAAAACATGGTGAGGTTCCCTTGGGAAAGAGAGCACTGTCCGGGTCGCAGCAAGCTGCTTTCGTAAATGTTCCCATAAGAACCTGCGGGCCAGAGTCAGAAAGACAACATCAGTCTGCATCATCGCTTACGTGGCATTTAGTAAGTTATTGCTTTTCCCCTGCATCACACCATAGAAGAAGGATGTGGATTTCTATAATCAGGTTAGGCAACTGAAGATGGAACAGCCTCACCACCAGCTGAAACTGGGGACACAGAGCAGCAGTCCTACATCTACCTGAACCATGTCTAACCCATATTTTGCTCTGACACAAAGCCTTGCAGCACTTAACATGAAGTGCTTGAAAAGCAGGGGTGTGTTTTAGCCTCACAGTTCCTCTATGAGGTGGGTGCAAATAGGAGAAAAACAAAAGTAGGACAGGCCAGGGACTTGCTGGGACCACAGCTGCCAGTGGCAGGGCGAGCACCCAGGGTTGCCAACCTCACAGCCTGTACTAGTGCCACTGCGGTGGCTGCTCTCAAATCCTCACCGGGCGTCCACCTCACAATGACTTTTAGAAGAATCTAAAACTATTTTTGAAGTAACTTTAAAACAACTTTTTAAATTATCTTGTGACATTTTGAAACATTGCTGCATTTGTATAACCACTGTTCTTCTCTGTATTTTATTGAACAGCAACCTTTTAAAAGTTCAACTCTGGACAACGCAAGTTCTCCTGCTGGTTTCACTGTGATTTTTCAAATCCAGAAAAATGTTACATCTTTCCTAGATTTGGGGTTAAAACTTCTGAGAAATAACTGACCTGTCATTGCTGGATCTTTGCAGCCACTTTTCAGTGTTGAATGCCAGGTGCCCCAGATATCAAAATGATCTTCAGAAACATCTGAACAGCAGAAAGAGCAGGAAGAAGATGATGAATTGATCCTTAATTAATAAGGGATTATTTAAAAGCATTCAAATGGAATGCTAATTTAAGAGGATATAAAACTTTATGTGAGGTATCAGAGTCATTAACATATACTAGCATCTGGCTTACCATGCACCTAACAAACCGATCTCAAATGTGTTGTTCAGGCTTAGATACTACAAGGAATTCGGTGAGCTCTGTACAGGCACAACACCTGAGCTTGCCAAGAGTAGAAATTTGGAAAGAATTTGCAGAAGAACAGGAGGATGTGGTCCACAGAAGATGGTTCATGTGCTTTTTACGAGAATGAATGGCAAAGCTCCCTCAGGCAGCCCCAGCCCCAGGCATCACTGTAAGGCACACTCTGTCAACTGGCAGCATCACTTGGTTCTTACTAGGAAGTGCTGTCACAGAATAGAGATTTAATGAAATGCGCACATCAGGCATTGTGCTGGAGTATAACTGTTCCATGCCTTTTTCTGATTCCATCTGGCAGTAAAGGAATTTCCTAATTTGTCATGGTCAAATATCATTGTGATACATACTGAAGTTCCAAAGATGGTTATTATGATAAAACTTAATGTAATTTCCTGTTTATAACTTACTAGAAATCTGACCAAATTTTGAAACCTATTCAAAGATTGAGATGCTGAATACAGAAGATAAATGCCCACTGGCATTTCTAAAGCATATAATTGAAATAATAGCCTAAATTCCATTAATCCCAAAGGGAATTAAGTGAATAACCAGTACCTCAGAAATAAAATGGTTTTAAAAATAAAACCAAACAGTTATTTACTCAGAGTAGTGAAACACTGGCACAGGTTGCCCAGGGAAGTTGTGGATTCCCCCTCCCTGAAAGTGTTCAAGGCCAGGTTGGACAGGGCTTCGGGCAACCTGATCTGGTGGGAGGTGTCCCTGTCCATGGCAGGGGAGTTGGACCAGATGAGCTTTAAGGTCCCTTCCAACCCAAACCATTCTATGATTCTATGATCTGCATCCCTAAGCACTAAAAGTCCTTTAAAAAGTTTGGCTTACTATGCATTTCATGAATGTAATTTTTTAAAAAGTATTTTAAAATGAAAAGTATCTTGAAGAGCTGGTGAGATACCAGTTTAAACTACAGTTTTTCACAGAAGAAATCGTTCAGATGTGTAGTCCCTAGTCAGCTATGGAAATTATGAATCCCTGCACTACTAGTATTGCTGGATGTGTAACTAGTAGCAGACGTAAAGCTGTGCAGCTCAGCTGCGTTCTCCAGTGAGAAGTTCAGGTCATTCTTTTCAATTGGATAAAATTTGTAGCTTGGGATCTTAAAGTCTCAGATTCTTCCAAAGTCTGAAGCATAACCTTGCAGGTATTACAGTCCTACAGAGCACAACTAGAAGTCAGAATCTTTGCCGTGCTGTCACAGATAGGCTGAAAAGCAGGACATTCATAGTTCTATTTTCCTAAAAGCTAGCTCCACGTTTTGAGAAATGCCGTATCAAGAGTATCCCTGATAGATGGCTGAGCTAACAAGGAGGACTGAGCACAGACCCTTTGGGCTCAACACATGAAAAGGATGTTAGTCAGTCATTTATACTATTGCTCCTCAAGTCCTCATGGATGATAAAACAGAGCAGACACCTGTTGATTATTTCAGAAACCCCCTTTGGTCACCAAGGAGAAGGAACATGATCAAGATGTACTCTACCTTTTCCAGCCTGTGATGCAGAAGAATTCTCCTTTGTCTTAGGCTGCAAATGTCCAACCAGCGTGTACTGTTCAGGTACCTTGTACAGCTTTTCCGGGCTGCGGGCAACTTCGTCTTGCATTGCCATCAGCGAGCGCTCAGACAGTACCGGGGAGTTGTTGTCATAAGGGGAGACATCTCCGCTGGAAGCTTTGTTGGAGTCTGTGGAAGAATGTCTTCCTCCTGTGGAGTAGGAACCTTCTGACCGCAGCATCTCGGGGCTCCTGAGAAATGTTGATAAACAAACTAATGTTGGTGAAAAAGGCTTTCTGTTCACCGCTGCAGGTGCAGTTTGACATCATGCAAATAAAATCAAATACAGGAGCATGATCACAGCTGCTGAAATGAAAACACTTCGGAAGCAGTACGGAGGTGAATTTTCCATGAGTAAAACTTTTGCCATGAAGTGGCCAGCAGAGGCCACTAAAAATCAAAAGATGTTGCTGTTGAGAAAAAAACCAAACAACAAAAAAACCACAAAAACCAAAACCACACAACCGCACAGTTCAGGAAATTAAATAGTGAATCAATTCCTTATGTTACCTTGACAATGTAGCTTGTTGCAACAGTAAATCTGAGGGCATGATAGGGAAGATTCATTTGATGCTAAGCAGTATGCTAAAATCCCTTCTTCCATTCTGAAGTACTACACAGAGAAATCAAAACCATAGCTCACCTCTCAAGCTGTGAGAAGGATCCTCTCCTAGCGACATCAGAAGGCAAATATTCTACAGGGGATAAGCAGATGTATCTACTGTATTTCTGATGGGGGCAGCAAACAACTTGCTCTGCTGATGACCTCTACAACTTCTTTTACCCTTTCACTTTTACGTCACCAGCAGCATGGCCTGCATTTAATTTTGACAAAAAAAGGCAAACAAAACCCTCAACAAAGTACAGCTAAGGCTCAGAGAGACAACTCTCATTTTTGAAGTGTGTTGGGAACATTGAGGGAGTTTTTGTGGACTGTGACAGTTCACTACACAGATAAGAGGCAGTCTGAGAGTCACTGAACCTCCCAAAGAACATGTAGAAATACCCTGTAAACAAACCTAACTTTTTTCTTATTGGTCCTCCCTAATTTATATTTCTATTATTAATTTTTCATTTCTCTGCACCTTGATCTTTTGTTTCTTAGATGCTTATCTTTTGCTTCTCTTGAGTCAAATGCTTCTCTTGAGTCAAACTCTTCTCTCAGTGATCTCAGTGATTGGCTCTAATTGCATGTGATACGACAGAGGCTCACTCTTGTAAATGTGCACTGAAAATGGTTAGCCTGTCTCAGAGGCAAATCCAAAGAGAGTCTGAACTGAGTGGGCAGCCAAAGCACATTACTTGTTATGGAACAATAACCTTCTTTCCTGACAAATGAAATAAAACTGAAGAAAGAAACTAAAGAAAACACACACCAGTAGGACAGGCCAGCCACAGCACACTAATATTAATACAGAAATAATGACAAAACTTAACACCTCTTTCAAGCTTTTTTGTTTCTTCTTTGCTGATTTACATATGGTATGTCTCAAACTATAGAATACATACACTCAACATCATAATTATTATGCTATTCAATATTTCATTTTTTTTCTCCAGTATAAAAGGAATCATCAAGTGTTGGGAACGAATTAAGTAAGTTTACTCCTCAGTAACTCTCAGTAAGAAATCCAACACTGAACTGATCCTGTAGCTTAACTGGGACCAATTCAAAAAAACAGAGCTGCTATTTGGCAAAGCTGCGCTGCCCCAGGCTTCTCAGTGTGGTTGGTATGGTAATGTTGGGGAGTAAATTAAAAAAAAAAAAGGTAAATAATTTCTCAATTATGTAACTTCCATCTCAACTTCTCATCTGAAGATGAGTCCAGTGTAAATGAATCTATAAACAGCCACACACTAAAGAATTATTGTCTTTTAAGCATATGCAATTCTATCACAAATCTTTAATCTTTTTTTGTCCCTTACTCTTTTCTTTCTGCTATCTTAAGTTCTAAAACACCTTGTGCAGTGAGTGTGAGTTAAGACGAGATTTAAGCAATTTCTTGGGAAATTTAGAAGAACCAGAAAGATCTAAGAGAAAAAGGGAGAAATGTTGGCATCTCTAGGTTTCCGACAACCAAAAGTCTTTATCTTCAGCTTTCTAGACTGAACATCACCTAAACCCTGCTAGCATACAGACATACTTAGCACTAATGGTGACACCAATAAGGCTTATTATATGTAAATCTTTGCAGGATCAAAACATAACTATGTTGCATAGAGCAAAGAGAGAGATACACCACCACTTAGCCATGGCAAGGTAACACAAGGAATAGGGGAAAGGGAAATGGAGAAGAAAGAATGTGGGAACATAAACTTGAGCTTTGTGAAACACTGATTTCATGTCTTACCTTGAACGATCTGTTATAGTCTATCTCTTCTCAAGACAGAGCTCCTGATAAAAATTTACTTAAATGGAAACTGTCAAGTCTTTGGAAAGATCCAAATGTTCAAGTTTCTAAACTCATTTACAGTTTCTGCTAGTAAGCCCATTCAAGTATATAGATATATAATATCACTTCCAAATTTGTTTAGAAAAAAGAGCTTTAAAAATAAAAGAAAATGCCTGTGGACTCTGTCAATCTTACTACAAGAAAACATCAAAATTGATTGAATACTTCAAAGTTGGCAATTATTCTCATACATTTGCAGCTTTATGATGCTCTTTGCAAAAAAAAAAACCCAACACACAACTTGCAAAAGAGTTTGGCTCACATCTTTCTAAACGAAGAATGAATTATTGCATATTCCTTAAAACAAAGCTTTTGCATCTGCTTGCTTTACAGTTTGAGTTCAGTGTCACAAGAATGTTTACTAAAACTCAAAATTCATCTTCCCCTGGATAACAGTGGGATTCTCTACCCACACACTGGGAAAGAACTACATTGGGAGGTAAATATAAATACTGCACAAGATACCCACTCACCTATACGCAGTCTACGAATAAGGGCAGATTATGGTTGCCACAAAGAATAACAGAAGATTATGTACTATCAAATGAGAGAAATGGGAAGGCAAATAAAGTATTTTCTAGTGGTTATGAACTATGTTAAGGAAAGGATTTACAAAATGGTTTCGTACAAACTATGAAAGTTGAAGGAGGAACCCAGGCCACACGTTCAAAAATACTATTTCAGATTCCAAAACAAAAATTAACTATGCTACGAAAGAGCCTTGGGCTTTCCTTTATAACTGGCATCCTTCTGAACTGATGTTATCCACCACAGTCTACTTGCATGGGTGAACTGGAAAAATGTTAATAATTACTTCTTCTGGGGATATACCTACTTTTCTACTGGCAGCAAGCTCATGAAAACAGGAAGTCCCTTTCTGGTTTTGGCAGAAATCCTTTTCTGTTACACCTTAAAGATTCTGAGTGGGAAAACAATTATGTCTTACAAGAGGCAAATCAAATGGAGTGTGATGGCTTGGCAGCACGAAGTAGTAATTTCCATACAGCAACACAGGTGCCACCAACCAAACATTATTATGGGATTATGATGTGGTTGCTACTGTAACAGGGTAGAGGACTGAGTGACTCAAGAAGCCTTTGCAGCTTTGACAACTGCATTTACACATACTGTACGGCCTATTGTATAGCTTCATCTTTGTGCCAGCAGTTAGGACGGATTAAAATCCATCATCACCATGCAAAAACAGTTGAAAATTCTGTAACTTTGAGACTCATTTAATCTAAAAAGGACTACTAGCCATGATAAGCAATAAATAATCATTAGAAACAGATTTTATTGTTGTGTTAGTTTAAAGATGCTTCATCTTACAGCTGGAGAGCCCAAATTCCATTGTCATCAAGCCAACATACAAAAAAGTTGGTAAAGTCATCCATGAAAGCACGCTTCATAACTGGTGCCAATGATAATTAGAGATTTACCATAAATGACTTCCATAAACTCCCTGACATACCATTAATGATGCTCAGCTCTTAAGAGGACTGAAAGATAAGAAACATCTGATTTGTCCTCCTCTGATGAAGAAAAGAAATGGTGACTTCTCTGTTAGATGAGAGCCAAGAAAGCATTTGTAACGACATCAAAAGCAGAGATGTGAAGGCAATTGCAGAAGCAGGACCTTCAGAGCATTTAGTATGCCATTAAAGTCTTGAAGCTGATTCCACACTCTACACTATGCAGCCAACTAGCTTTTCTGATGAAGATGGTCTCAAGAATATGTTTAGTTTTCTGCTCCACAGATTCCAGTTTGGATCTTGAAATTATGACCAAGAAACTGCCAAGAGCAGTAAGGATGTATTTTGAAGGTTCATTTTTTATCAGATCAAGATAAACATCTCCTTGTTTTCTGCTGCCTCACATTTCTTACAGGAAAAATAACCAACAAATATGTAGCCTCAAAATTGAGATTATGTTATGAAATAGATTAATCTCTTAAGAGCATCACACTCTTAACAATCACACTAAGCAACATTCCCTCTAGTTGCCTGGAATATTTTAACCAAGAAGTTGCAATCACAGTGAAAACATACCGAGATTAAGAATAAATCACTTACATGATAGCAGAGTAGAAGAATAACGACAGATAGCAAGTTTTTCCTATCTCAGTGATACTTCATCTGCCCATTACAGGAAATACAATAAATTGGTATTAGTGTAGCTATTTGGTTTCATAAGCTTTTCTTACAAAACCCCTTTTTTCAGTTGTGACCAGCTTTATATTTTCTCCTGCAGGTGTGCATGCTGGCTGAAAAGTTAGGAAGCTCAAGGAAAGGTCAAAGAACTTAAAGGAAACAGGACCTAACCATAATCTGTTACATTCACAATGATCTGCAGCAAATTTATGCTTAATTGATATGTGTAATACAATTTTACGTCTCTATATTATATAGATGGTGAAAGCCAGCTTGAAGGTTTTTATTAGCTTGAGTTAGAAATAACACGATCACTCCAGACTGAAGGCTTAAAGAAAGAAGTCTCTACAGACTTTATCATATATCATGTGATTTGCAGTGCCTCTACTAATTGTGGTCTTGGCTCATGGCAAATGTGAAACAAGTGTAAAAGACAGCTAACATACCTCTAACTATCCTGCATTCATTGTGATTTAAATATACACATGGTTACTTGTCAGTCAGACATAAACTAACTGAAACTGGTTTATGTCTGTGGTACACTAAGAAAACACAGAGACAATTACCTCAAATCAAATGCTCTGTGATAATTTGCTACTGCATGTTATGTGTTCATGTGGTTGAGTCAACAAACTAATAAAATCCTTTACAACACATGATATATTCTGCACTTATTTTTCTTTTTAATTTTTATAATTAAAGAAAGTTTCTTTCTCCATGTGTTAATCATACTATTACTTTTATACCTCTTCCTTTAAAGTCAGACACACTATTACATTACCTCCAACTATACAATGTTCAGAGGGAGAGAAAAAAAATCATAGCTAACCAACTGTACAAATTCAATTTTAATTATATTCTGAATGCACTAGGCACTTTCCACATAATACAGGAAGACAGGGTCCAATTTGTCCCAGAGAGTTTATGAGTCTTGGAAACCTCTTAAAAATTACTTAAAGCAAGCTTGTAAAATTTTGTGATTTTTGGGGCTGACATATTGGGATTCACTAGAATAAAGGCAATGACTGTGTGTCCCATGAGAAAGCCAGGAATCCTGTTAATCCGAATGTACAAATTCATAGCGTTAAGGCACGCGGGCGTAGGCATACGTACACCACACACCAAGCAGGAATACGTTATGTATCATAACTGCAATAGTTACCAGTGTGATTTTTTTTCTCTTCAGATCTTTCACAAAGCATAAAATTAAATAATATCCAAAGAGTCGCCATAAACCTGTTGTTGTGGCAATTGACTTGTTTACAACGTCCTAATGGTACACAATAGGAAAGGAACAATAAACTGGTCAAATGGCCAGCCATGACTGTGTTAAGGCACTCTAGGTGTGTTTCAAAGATAGTGTGATACAGCCTCCTGTTACTGGAGACTACAACAAACCCGAGACATGAACCAGCAGATCACTAGAATACATCCTGTATATCCTGTCAGATAATAGTGCACTGAATATTTGTATGTACATGTCATTTTGTTCTCTGCAGCAGAACACAATCTTTCCTCTGAATCAGGAAACAAGATTTGTCTTTAAAAAACACTGTACAAGAGTCATAATTTCTTTGGCAGTGTCTGTGTAATAAGGAGGATATTTCTGCTCCACTGTAGACAGTGCAGAAGGGCTGTGGAAAACTAGAACCTTTTGAACACTTCCAGTGGGAGATAAAAATTCCCAGCAGAAATGGAGATGGTGAAAAAACAGATTACTCACGATGACTGGGAAGCTTTCCTCCTCAACAAATAGTCCACAACATCCGGGTCAGTCTCCAATAGGCTAATAAGCACTTCATTCTGTAGGTCAGGGGAAACCTATGAAAACAACAAAAAATACTTAGTTGGAAATTAATATCCCTTCACATATGTTAATTTTGGTACTATGTTTAATCTAAAAGAGCAAGTACAAGTACACTTATGGAGAGTATATAAAATAAATATTCAGATGCACTTAAAAGAGAAATTTCATGTAACAACAGGTGAAGTAGGACTAAGGATTACTTTGTACAAGGTCAAATGCTGATTACTGTTGAATAACCCATTAATACATCTGATAACAACAGTGGAATTTACTCAGGTATTGCAATCTCAAAAGATCCAGTTCAAGGTCTTCACCCTACATCCTCACTCAAAGATCTGGGGACATTTACAAATTTCCATTCAAAGCAACTGTACTTCTTTTATAAGCAATGTGAAATGTAATTACACAGGAAGGAGAATATTTCTTCATACATTCTGTGACATTTAACTTATTTATGTCCTTCTCGTATGGATATTTCATGGTAACTGTTCTATCTATGGAGTTCTTCAATTGCTTTATTGCAGTGAGAGCTGCCAAAGGTCAACAGTTTTTTAAATGAAGCCTTATAAACATTTCATATTCAGGTAACCATATGGCCAAATCCTGGGATCTAGAAGCATTTAAATTTCTGTTTATGCTCAATCAGAACTTGAGTAATTGCAGAGTTCATCTGTCTGTAAGTCAGGTTTACAAGTGGGTCCTGTTGGATCTGCAGCCACTTTGGATTTTGAGTAGTATCAACAGACTCAGTCAGAATTTGTGTCATCCTCTTTGGAGTTTGTCCTTCTGATTTGCTAACTCTCTGAAGTGTACTTTATATGAAGATGAGCCCTCAAAACACTTGATAGCTTCAGGTGCTGCAGGATATAGCAACATCTCCTGGGCAGGTAGCAGGAAT